TCCTAAATCTACTGGGTTGTCTCTCTTTGCTTGTTCATCGTGTGTTTCTTGACCAAGAAGTAACACCTCGTTGCAAGGAGTAGCACTGAATTTGAGTTTGGGTCTCTAGCGGATACAATTGCAGACATCAGTTGGTTGCAAACATTACAGAGAAGTATAATGTTGCCCAAAAGCCACTCCTATTATTTGGTGTGATAATACGAGTACTCTATTCCTAGTTGCAAATTCAGGGTTCCACTCAAGAACAAAACATGTAGAATTTGATGTACATTTTGTTCGAGACAAAGTTATTTGCAAGAACGTGATGTATGGTATGTTCTCCCGTTGATCAATTGGCAGACGGACTAACCAAGCCTTTGTCAAAAGTTATATATATTGTCGGTGAGGAACAAATTCAACATGATTCCTTCCCTATTTCGTTTGAGGGAAACGTTAGAATAGTTGGAAAAGTCATCGCAGAAGCAAATGAAACACTAACCAATTAATTTCTACCAGTTATTGATTAACAAAATTGTCCACTGTAATTTTCCCAGAAACCAACCAAGTTTTTTTACTCAATTTGGTAAGCTGAAGTTGACACCAACCAATTACAGTCATCGGTTTAGTCAATTTAAATCGACTTGGTCGGTTTTTCCTTGCACACTAACAATCTGAGCTCGTAGCCAGCTTTCAAAACAAAAAAAAGTTTTTGGAACTACTCTTTTTTTAGTTTTTGAAATTTAGCTTAGATTTTGAAACTATTTTGTATGAAAGTAGATAGCAAAACAAAGAAATCATTAGTGAAAGTAGCGTTTATAAACTTAATTTTTTCAAAAACAGAAAACAACAAAATAATTGTGGAACAGGATCTAAAAAATAAACAAAATAATCCAACATCCAAAATCAATTAACAACCAAGTTCAACTAGCAACTAAAAGATAAACATCAACAAATCTCAAGCAAGAATAACAAGATTAACCCTAATCCTTGATGGAGTTGGAGTAAATGGCACAAGGATATTAGCAGCGCAATTCAATTTGATATCAAGAAATGCATCTTCTTTTCCATTTTCTAAAAGACATCTCAATTAAATTATACATGCCTGAAGAAATCAAGTTTCAAGGTGTATGAAGTGAAGTGTTGAACTATGTAGCTGACCAATAGAACTGTTGCATCACCTGTTGGCTGTTATTATGAGGGGAAAAAAGAGAGAGAGACAAAGGATTTGCATATATACTACCAATAATCTCCACATGAGCAAACTCCATCCTTAAAATGGTGGAAGCGATTCACATCTCGAACCATAATCTCTCGATCGGCAAACTTGGAAATGAATTTTGTGACAGAATGGCAGTCTTCACATAGCCTCAAGTTCTTTGTTATCCTTATGGTGTCCCCTTTGCTCGTGTTGATGAGTCCGAAAGCAACCGCGAGCTTTTCGCTATGACCCAACACAATCCTTTCTTTTTCTTCCTCATCAAGGTCATAAAGCACCACTTTGGTTTGTGGTATATATCCTCTTTGCTTCATCTCCTTTGATAAGTTCACTAACAGGGCATGGAGCTGCTCTACCTGTGGGTTAAACTCATCAACAGATGTAAATGAATAGATCTTCCTTCGTACTTCGATCCAACTTCTACCGGGGACCTTTTGTAGTTCCCGAGAATCGAGAAGCTTTTTCACTCTCTTTACCTTGTCCCACATTTCAGCTTCTGCATAAATATCAGCTAGAAGTACATAATTCCCAGCATTTGTAGGCTCAAGCTCGAAAAGCCTTTTGCTTGCTCTTTCAGCAAGCTCAACATGACAATGAATCCTACAGGCACCTAGAAGAGAACCCCATACTTTTGGTCCTGGTTCGAGCCGCATATCTTCTACAATCTTGGCTGCTTCATCCAACCGGTTAGCACGCCCAAGAAGATCAACCATACAAGCATAGTGCTCCACACTAGGATGTATTCCATGTTCTTTAACCATGGATTCAAACAACTCCTTCCCCTCTTCAACAAGCCCAGCATGGCTGCAAGCACCCAAAACACTCACAAATGATATGTAACTAGGTGAGAATCCATGATCGATCATCTCTTCGAAAATTTCAATTGCTTTCCTTCCATATCCATGAACACCATAACCTGAAATCAAGGAATTCCATAAGACAACATCTCTCTTATGCATACGGTCAAAAACTAGTTGACCCAACTCAAGCTTGCCACATCTTGCATACATGGTCACAAGAGCACTTATAACTGGCAAGATTGAATCAAGACCCCTCCTAAGAATGTAACCATGTATAAGCTTTCCTTGCTCCAGAGCAGCAAGAGCCGCACAAGCTTGGAGTACACTGACCATTGTCACGGAATTCGGTACCGAGTCATGGGTGTTGAGCATCATCTCACAAAAGAGCTCCAAGGCTTCGTAGGGCTTCCCATTCTTTGCATAGCACGCAATAATAGCACTCCAAGAAACCACATTTCTCACAGGCATTTCATCAAACACGGCACTGGCATAAGAAACACACCCAAACCTTGCGTACATATCCACCAGAGTAGTCATTACATGAACATGAGCTTCATACCCATGTCTCAAAATATGCGCATGAATCTCCTTACCCTTCCGAAGAAGTGAAACCAAACACTCGGAAGCAACACAAGCTTTGAGCAAATAAGTATAAGTAAACCTATCAGAAGGAACTCCCGTCATATTCATCCGGGCATACAATTCCAGCACCTCTTTTCCATGACCCGCCAACGCAAGAGCTCTAAACAGCGCATTCCAGACATATATAGTTCTGTTACGCGTTTTGTCAAACACCTTGCGTGCATCGTCTACAGAGTCCAATTCCGAAAACATATTGATAAGCTTGGTGGCAAGGAACGGGTCCTGGTCAAAACCCCCATCGACGAGGTGTCGATGCACGTCGAGACCGTCGGAGAGAGAGTTCCGGCGAGCGGCGGAGAGGATTAAAAGCTCACACGTCTGTTGGGTAGGATTGGACTCGTGGGAGAGGAGCAAAAGGGCTTGTTTGAGATTGCCCTGCTTGCAGAGAGATTGAATTAGTTGGTTCTTATTTGGGTTTGCGGCGATTGAGGGGTTTAAGGCGAGGGAGCAGACGGAGGGTCTTGAAGTGGAATGAGCCGAGCAATGGCGGCGAGACGAGGGTGGGTATGGGGTAGATTGGGGAGTCCGAAGCGCCCACATCACAATTGGATTCAACTGAATTGTGCTTCGGCGAAAGGCTTTGAAATTCCAATCATCCCTTGCCGGCAATTTCAATGGAAGCTCTCTGTTGATTTTTTCAGGGATCGAACAGTGAAGAATCTGAGATTGATGGAGACGTCTCTGCTGTTGGAATTTATGAATTTAGTCGACCCTCGTTATTTTTCCACAGATTTCGCTTCCAAATTCCAATATAAACGACATGTCGTCGGCCGTCTGTAAAGTGTAAATTTGAGGACGTAGGATTTTTTTTTTTTTTTCTCTTCTTCTTTTGATCATTGACTTTTTTTTTTTGTTATATCTCTTTTGGTTCATGGGTTTTCAGAAAAAATTAATTATAAAAAACTATTTTGGTTTTGATAGCCTCAGCTATATTTTATAATCATTATTAATAAAATTAATTGTTAGTTTCGATTTCTTTATGATATATTTACACAGTTAATGTTATTTTATAGAAATAAGATATCAAGAAGAATCGGGACATTGAATTGATCAAATAGAGTGAAAAACCATAACTCGAGAAGTTGAGAAGGTCCCATAACATAATTTAGAGTCAAAAGACCGAAGGGGTTGTGTTGAGACGCTACATCGCTACAATGAAAAGCAAGATAATTAACGCTTCGCGTCGTAGCGTCTGGCGTCTCGACGCTACGATGCCAGGATCCGTTTTTGCTAGCATTTAGTCTCAACGCTGTCCTAAATAAGACCTTGGCCATCAATTGAATGGGAGAGTGGAAGGAAATCGCACTTGAATAATCTATGTTTTAAATCTCTTCCCAAATGTTTTTGGAGTTTAGTTGAGTTTTCCTCTTGTAAAAATAATTAGGATTTTCTCCTTTATTTAGGAGCTCATTAGCCCCTCGACAAACACATCTCTTTCTTCCCCTCATCTTAGCAGGTGTTTTCAACACCGTTAGTCACCCTTGTTTCCTCTCATCTCTTTTGTTAGCTTTGAGATGGGACTTTTAGTTAGTTGTTTGATTTGTGGTTTGAGACTCAACAATAGGTACTTATTTATTGTTCTTCAAATAAAAAATGGTGGAATTCTTCCCCTTGTTTTAGTGGTTGGATTTTGTAACGGTCTTCCTTCGGAATGTTGAAAATCTTAGAGTTGGTAACATGTTCTATTAGAGCAAGTGAAAGTGTAGCGTATGAGTGTTCACGAAGAAACCATTCCAAAGTCATTTTCTCATAGCGAGGATGTCATATAGAAACAAGTTATTAAACTTCCAAGAGAAAGAAGATTGACCTAATCAAACCAGAAATAAAATCTTTTGACTATTTGTCGATCATTTTCAATCTGGTCATGAACGTAATTTCTCATGTTCACTGGCAGAAGGTTACAAAAACTTATTTTGAAAAAACATGTAAGATTTCATTTGGTCCAAATTTTTAGGTCAATTGAAAAAAAAAATTATATCATCCTTAAACAAATGACCATCACTACAATATTATTTAAGAAAAAAAATTCAATATCTTAATTGTGCTTTTAACTAGTTGTAAACATTTTTCTAAAAAAAAATCACAACATTTAGTTACATACCAAAACACAAGTTACAGTTACTTTAAAGCACTTTTGAAAGTACTCAACTCTTTTTTTTTCCCCCTAAAATTGATTGCTTGGAAAATCTTTCACTTAAAAGCTTAAGACACTGAAACACTTTGAATAAAACTGCTTTTAATTATGTAATTTTTTAAAACTACTTTTAGTAGTAAATTTGTTTGATTGCACTACATTCAAATGATTCTACTCCTTACTCATATGTGTTATTTTTTAAAAAATTTGAAAGAAGAAGAAATGAATCTCATCTGCAATGATCGTTTATAAGATGAACAAATAAACTCTGCAACAGAGATCCTTTTAAATGTCCTGAGAACCATATACAAAGAAAACATAAAAAGGTAGAGAAGAGAGGGAACATGTGTAGTTTCCATTGATAAGATTCGAAAAGGTCTGCATCCCTTGGAGCGCAAGAAAATCGACCCTCTAAGCTGATTAGCGAGCCGAGCCGATAAAAGAAAGTTATTCCTTCTTATGTTATCTTGGGTCAAAGCCATTAATAGACATCCCTCCATCAACACCAATGATTTGGCCAGTAATATAAGATGAAGCAGGTAGGCAAAGGAATGCAACCAGAGATGATACCTCACTCGGTTCTCCCAGTCGTCGAAGTGGGGTTCGAGAATATACCTCTTCGACGTACACTTTGTTACTCAGTACCTAGAAGGAAAAGATACAGCACAAGATCAGCAAGACAAACATTATGAACAAATCAATCTTCACCGGTTAAAACAGCGAGAATTACTTGCTCCACCATTGACGTTTTGATGTACCACGGGGCGACCGCATTGCTCCTAATGTTGTCCTTGGCCCATTCACAAGCTAAGTATTTTGTGAGTTGATTGATAGCTCCTGCCCGAATTGCTGGGAAATATTAGACTAAGGAGAATAATGTTTGCATCCAAAGATAATGGTTAAATCAATCACACCTTTGGTTGCTCCTTGAACAGACATGGACTTCAGAGACACGAAACTAGACACTGAGGACATGAACACGATGCTTCCCCGGCCCGATGCTTTTAGAAGAGGATAAGCCAGTTGAGATAAATGGAATACCGATTCGACATTGGTTTTCATGAGAAACGAAAATTCTTCCTCCGTGAATTCTGCAGTTGGCTTTCGTATATTTCTACCAACATTATTTACCTACATGATAGTAAAATGGTGCTCGGAGCCAATAAGGATTCTCATAATGATTTTTTTTAAAGGTACCGAACTTGAAATAAAAATGAAAGAATACAAAAGAGGCATGCAGAAAGACAGTGGGAGGAGCCAAGCTAAGCCAAAAAGGGGCTTTGATCTAACAAAATAAGACCTAAAGGATAATTGTAATTATCCACCAAGGCCCAAAGAGAAACATGAAATCTAACGAGAGACTAAACTTCCTCCAGAGGTCTCTCGAATCCTCTAAAAGTTCTATTGTTTCTCTCCATCAACAAACCCATAAGATAGCACAAACCCTGGCAAGGCAAAGAAAATGCCCCTTATCACAAAAGGGTGAAAAAGTGAGCAACTCCCCCACCAGCACACAGCCATCTATGGACGAACAAGGCTGAAACCTAACTCTTTAAAAAATATATTTTCCAAACCAAACACAGAATGATGAAAATCGATGTGCTTTTTAACTCTAAAATTTAGATTTGCGTATAAAATACTGAAAGATGAGTTCTTAGAAAAACTAAAAATGGAGAAGTAAAATCAATCTGACCTTCATAAAATTCATATTAGGAAAGGGAAGTATAACTCCCATATGCCAAAAAGCAGCAAATCCCCAAGAATTCAATTTCAGTAGGCAAACAATTTATAAATAGAAGATTCACCAAAGGATTTCATTGAAGAATCGTTGAAGGACAGAAAAGTTTTGAGGATATTTAGAATCTAGTTATTCCCTCTTCTCGGAGCTCGCTGTCTGAAGTTTTGATTATGTAACCACTCCATTTTTCTTATTCAAGCAACAGCAAACTACAGATCTTTTAGCTAAATGATCTACATTCTACTGAACGAAACCGCCTTCCTCGCCTCTTTATTGTCTCATCTAATACTTTAAGAGGCTTTTGAAGCTTACACCTTAAACTCGCCTCAAGGCAGGACTCAAATCTTTGACTTCAAGTCTTACACTTTCTTTAGCTTACACTTCTATGAGAATAATGCACCACGAGTTCAAGTCTTTACGCCTCATACTACCTCGACGCTTTGGCATGCCTCTTCAGAAAAAAAAAAAAAGGAAAAAACATTGGTATCCCCCCTTCTTAAAAGGACAATTATCCGACCATTCCAAGCGCAGAAATATTATTTTGATCATACATCTAATGATAGTTCCAGCTAGAAGGTTACTTCCAATAGTTTTATAATTATAAGAGATGAGATTGGAAGGAAAACAACCCAACAAAGTAATCTGCAACTTATTCTAAAGCAGAGCAAAGCATAAGAAATGGTGCACCTTACAAGAATGTTGAGCTTCCCATCAAAATTGGCAGCCACTGTTTCCATTAGCTCCTCTCTCTGAGCTCGAACCGACACATCGCAGACCGACCCAGAAACTCCAAACTCCAAATTCTTCCAATCCCTCAAACATTGTTGCAACTCACTCAAATTCCGAGAACACGTATGAACTCTTGCCCCAAAACCCACCAATTCCTCCACAATCGCACGCCTAAACAAGAATCCAATTCCAAATTCTCAACAAACATCAGAGGAACAAAACGGAAATCGCCTCTATTTGTTCATAGATAGAAAAATCTTACCCGATTCCGCGAGTGCCGCCGGTGACGAGGGCCGTAGCTCCACGAAGAGACCACCGATCATCGATTGGGGTGGTGCCATTCATGCTTTTAAGGTCTGGTTGGGTTTGATTTGTAATGGGTTTCAGGCGATGGAGGATTTTTCGAGTTGAATATGATGGGGGAAGCCCGAAAGGGTTGAAGGAGCAGGAAATGGAAATGGGAGAGAGAGGAGGGTTTGTGGGTGTGATGAAAGTGAAAGAAGAAAATGAATCAAAGGATGTAGGAGAAACCAGCGCTAACAACATTCTTCTACCGGATGCTCTCAACTCAATAGGTCGCAGGTTTTGGTATGCGATTCAACTCTCCACTGCATCTTCTATTCTTCTTCCTTTTATCACTTTTCTTCTATTTTCTGTTTCTTTCTTGGTGCTGCTTTAAATACTATTTTGTAGCGTTTACTGTTAAACCACGAAATTTTGTAATTAATCTGTATTTCTTTAAATACTGTTGATTTCCCCTTTTCTAGATTAACGTTTTTCACCAATATATAATGTTTCTTTATCGAGTAAAATCATCAATAAACAAAATAAAATAACGAGCACCATTGATAGCATTAACCGGGGAAGGACCCCAAAGATCAGAATGAACAAGTTCAAAAAGTGTTGTAGTTTTTGTATTGCTTAAAGAGAAAATGAGCCTATAGCTCTTTGCTTTTTGACAAGAAGTAGAAACGCTAGACTCATTGATTTTAGAGGAATTAATGTTACATGAGGACAAAACTTATCTAACGATTGTATGTGCTTGATGTCCTGAACGAAAATGCCAAAGGGAAGTAGTGGTGGAGGAAATGGGTGGCAAAGTTGAAGAAGAGACCGTATGTGAAGAAGAGTTGGGTTGAAATTTGTAAAGTCCACCATCAAGGATTCCCCGTAGAAGAATAGTCCGAGAATTGGGATCCTTGACAACAAAAAAAATTTGGATAAATTCAACGGGGGCTTTATTATCAGAACATAATTTGGAAATGCTAATTAATTTATGAGAAATATGGGAAGTATATAAGACTTGAAGAGAGATAAATAGGAAAGGCAGAAGTAGAATTTAAAAGTGAATGACCAATATGAGAAATAGGAATATTCTTACCATCACCTACGGTAACTTGCTCACCCCATAATAAGGCATGGGATTAGACAGAGAATTAATTTCATGAGAGATGTGGTGAGTGGCACCAAAATCTATATACCATACGTCATCGGGTATAGCAGTGGGATTGGAGAGGGAAAAAGAGTTGGGTGTAGGAGGCACAGTGGCTGTAGAATTGGATTGTTGGAACTTGGAGTTAGAAGAATTAAAATGATGAAATAAGGCATGAGGATTGAGCTTGTTGGTGGATGATCGTTACAGTACAAGTGGCTATTGTACATATTTGGATCATAATTTAATCTCGTGGTCCTCCTCCAAACAAAAAATAGTGTCTCGTTCTAGTACTGAATTGAAATATTACGGTCTTGCTAATGCAGCTGTTGAAATTGTTTGGATTGTATCTATTCTTAAAGAGCTTGATTTCTTTCTTAGTCATCTGCCACTACTCTTATGTGATAACATTAGTGCTACTTACTTGGCTGCGAATCCTGTTATGCATCAACAAACTAAACATGAGGAAATAGATCACCATTTTGTTCGTGTGTGTATTCTAAATCGTCAGCTTATTGTTAAGCACGTGCCTTCTGAAAATCAAGTTGTTGATATCTTGTCCTTTAAACACTGTTCATTTCCCCTTTTTCAGATTAGGGTTTTCACCAATATAGAATGCTTCTCTTCAGACCATTCTTCTCTTTTCTCTCTAGCCTTTTTACATTTTGTCATGTTTCATTTTGTTCCTTACTTTCAACTTTTTAAAAAAGAGGGAAAACACGTCCATTTAGGAAGTGTTGAGTTTGGAGATGTTTAATCTAGGGTGTTAATATGGAGAGTTAATTAGTCTAAAGTTATGTAATTTGTGATACAAAGTTGTTTAGCTTGGAATTCTGAAGTCTATATTCAAGGTATAGAATTATGAAGTCTGGAGTTGAGCTATATTTTTGTTTGCTAATTTTTTTGCTATAATTTTAATATACTGTATAATTATATCTATAATCAAATGAACTTGTCAATTCAAATTTTGAGTTTTCGTATTATTTATGATTCTATGAATAGTTTGTAAATTTGTTTAAGTGGTTGTTTTAATTTAGTTGGAGAAAATAATGCAGCAGTTGATGTAATCCATCAATGACTCCTTATCTTACTGACGAAGAACAAATAAGCCGCTTGTCACTTTGAATGATGTCGAGCTAATAATTGAGTCATGAACATCTTTCTCAATTGTCGATAGCTCGAGATAGATTTCGGCTTCAATTGTTTGTACCACAGTCAAGCTGACCCTCTCAACGAGACCTGAAAGGCTCAGCACTTCATTGCATCATCTGCAGCTTGAAAGTCCACAAGGCCTTCGAAGATTTTGACATGGTCAACTGGATCCCTCAAGTCGTCGTTCATCTTCATCATCGGCTTTTTGAACTTGTTTGGATCGCAACGTCAAGGATTTCTTGAACAAAAGGTGGCTCTTTTGGTTCGTCATCCTTGGTGCCAGCAATAGTCTTCCCTTTACATTTCTTCTTCAAGTCATCTAGCTCATTCTCGAACCTGTCCCTCATCTAATCAACATCTGATCGGATATCATAATCGGCCCTCAGAGCATTTTGTTGATTGTTAACTTTCTGGCTTCTTGCCCCAGTCCAATCATTTAGGCTATGTCTAAGATCTTCAAGCTCATGGGTCCATCCGTGTACATGGGGCGGTGAATTGGCTACGAGCTCGATCATTAAGAACATCACTAAGATCTCCATTGAAATGGTGATCTTCACTTGGGTTGCAGGCGAAATGAACTTGATGCGACTATCGACGTCTCCTCAAGGCGGGTTTGGAGTGGTTGGATGGGCCTAAGGCTGCTTCCAAAAGATTTCCATGCTTGGCTGTGAATTCCTTGGAGGGGTATCGATACAATTTTCTCCAGTTGGTCGGTGCGAGACATATTCATCTCATCAAGGGGAAGGGTTCATAGGTTTCTTACCCTTCCTCAAGTCGCACAATATTGATGATGTAGACACCTCATGCTCTCATTCCATTGCTTACATTGGACCTTCATTTCAGCTATTAAAGCTATCATGTTGGCCACCATGTCCGGTCAACAGACAGGTCAGTGATCCAACCTGAACAAACTCCCTGGCTTCCAAAAGTGTAGTGTGGATCTCCCAATTACAAGAGGTCTATCCGAATAATGGACACTTGGTGAACCTACACTCCATCATCGACTGAGTGGCCATTGGCAGCATGTCATGCAGGAGCAGTAGGATGACCATTGACCACGTTTCGACCAACAACAGAGAGGTGGTCGTTTGCAGCAATAGGAAGCCCTTTACCTCCAGCCACCGAGGTGCCAGCCACCTGAGAGTACGAGGGAAGTTCAGTATGTCCCTTTCTGACGAGTTGGGGTGCGTTATTGTTTGGAGAATGCTTGAGTCATAGCTTGTGTAGGGAAATGACTTTAAAAGTTGTCAAATTTCCCACAAATAGCACTAAATGTTTGATCAAGAAAATGACCAAAGGACCGTGAAGCTCGGACTTGTATGACTGACAAATGAAGGGACTTGCAAACGAGAGAAATAGCTCCAACGTTCAAGTCAGTACTTATCCGATCTATTGCTTGAGAGAGAATTATTTCACATACCTGAAAGGTGAGTCAAGGTTCTCTATTTATAGTGATGAGCTTCCAATAGGCCCCAACAATGTTGTAACCGCTCTCCAACAGTGCAGGTAATCGTGGCGTTTGCGTTGTATGAGATTAAGTTCGAGGTTTGCGCTTGTGAATGCTTCTGAAGGTCAACTCGTCCTTTAAGAAAGTTGGCCGATGTAGAAAGTGTAGATCGACTTGTCCTTTGGAAGACCACCAACAAATATTGCATAGTTTGGCTCGACCTTTAAGAAGACTCAAGCTGTTGATTTCTTCCTTCAAGGTTTATCCCCCTAAATGAATCATTGTAATGACTCATTGTTGTTGATCTCTAGAATAATTCTGAGAACACGTATGAACTCTCGCCCCAAAATCCATCAATTCCTCCACAATCGCACTCCTAAACAAGAACCCAGTTCAAAATTCTCAACAAAACAACAGAAGAACAAAACGAAAATCGCCTCTATTTGTTCATAGATACACAAAAATTTTACTTGATTCCATGAGTGCCACCGATGATGAGGGTCGTAGCTCCACGAAGAGACCACTGCTCGTCGATTGGGGCAGTGTGATTTATGCTTTTGAGGTCTAGTTGGGTCTGATTTGTAATGGGTTTCAGGTGATGGAGGATTTTGTGAGTTAAATGTGATGGGGAAGCCCGAAAGGGTTGAAGGAGCACGAAATCGAAATGGGAGAGAGAGAAAAGGCTTTGTGAGTGTGATGAAAGTGAAAGAAGAAAATGAATCAGAGGATGTAGGATAAACCATAGCTAATAACATTCTTCTACCGGATGCTCTCAACTCAATAGCTCCAATTCATCTTCTTGGCTTCGTTTTATCATTTTTCTTCCCTGAAATTTGCCTGATTCCCTCTCTTTTTTCTTTTGTCTTCTTCATCCTTATTCGTCTTCTTTCCAATGTTTTCTTCGTCTTTTTCCTAACTAACATATATGTTTTCACCATTCCACTTCGCTTGTGTTTCGTCCTTTGAATTCTATGACATGCCCAATTTTTGTGTCAGTTTTTTTAGTATCATTGCTATTTTTATTGGTATTGTTGAAGAAATTTTTGGGAGCCCGGTCGGGTCGAAAGATGACTCACAGGATCGAACGGGTTGACCGTCAATTGTTTACAAAGGTCTGGTTTCGATCGAGTCTCCTTGAAACCTATAATAAAAAGGAGATTATAAAGCTAACACCCATGTGGTGTTGGCTGGCCACACTCCGTTGCTTAAGTCAACTGATGAGCTTACTGAAATAGGTAAGGAGATGTCTTCGATTGATTTCACTTACCTTGAAGGGTTGCTCCTTGTTTATGCAAGAATTTGCACAATGTCAATCTAGCTCGAATTCGGTCATTGCTCCGACCCGAAAAGCTAAGGGGAAACCTGCACAAGAGGGTAAAATCTCCGACGCTCAAGTCAGTAAGCAGCTCGAACTCAATATTAAGTTCGAGGAGAAATTCAATACCTGATGGTGAAATGAGGCCCCTCTATTTATAGGATTAGGTTCCGACAGGGGTGACAACAGGCGGTTACCTTGGTCGGATTTGAGATTGGATGTGTCGTGCTCCAGCAAATCGAGCTCGGACACTTTCCCGAAATGACAAGTTGATCTTTGATAGGAAA